CCCCCTCCCTTGGGGGGAAATGGCCCCGGTGTGATTAAAAAAAAAATAATAAAAAAAAAAATTATTTTATGTATTATTATTATTATTATGTTTTTTTATTATTATGTATTATTGTTATCTTTCGTATTCTTCTTTTTCCCTCCTCCCCCTCTTCTTCTTCCCCCTCCCCCTCTTCTTCTTCCCCCTCCCCCTCCCCCCCCCTTTTTCTTCTTTTCGCCTCCTCCCTCTTGCCCCTCCCCCTTTGCCTCCCCCTTCTTGTCTCCTCCTCTTGCCCCCCTCCTTTTGCCCCCTCCCCTTTTTTGCTCCCCCTCCTCTTGCCCCCCCTCCTCTTGCCTCCCCCTCCTCTGCCCCCTCCTTCCCTCCTCCATTTTGGAACAAGTTTAAAGAGCTTAAAAAATCAAAATCATATCATATCATCACCAATGTCACTCTGAGTCGGGGTTTTTGGGAAAAATTTGGGAGTTTCTCTTTGTCTGGTAAAAAGAACGGAACAAGATGGCCCAGCACCCGAGGTGGAAAGGGTGTGGGTTGTCTGGGGGTTTTCCCCACTATTTCCCTATTTGGTCATTTGTTCGGTAAAACCCCCCAACGAACTTGAAACTATCTTCCTGTACTTCCATCTGTATTAGACTGTCCGGGGGGAAAAAAGTGTCCCAATTTGCCCGAGGGGGGTGAGGGAAATTCTTTCCACAGGGCACGGTGGGAAAAAGTTTATATGGGTGGGATTCCCAACACCACTGGGTCCCAGATTTTTTTCCTACTGCGCACACCACCACACAGACCATTCTTCACATCTAGGCTTATCAGCCCTTTTCCTGTGAGATTTGAGGCCCCCTGAATTTATGCGTACTAGTACGACAAAAAAAACCCCCACGCGGTAAACTTTCTAGTCGACCAAAAACCTCAAAAGGGGTTTAAAGGGCTGATTTCTTTCTTTTTGGTGTACGTTAAAAGCTTTTCCATATTTTTTGCCCAAGTTTAAATAAGTAACCCAACAAACAAATGAGAAAAATAAAATATAAATTTAAAAATAATAATAAAAATAATAATAATAATAAAAATAATAAAATAATAAAATAAAAATAATTTCAGTGGAACCCCCAAAAATTTAACTGCTCCCCAAAAACAACCAACAGTAAGTATATTTTTGTAAGTCTTTTATAGGTATTTTGAGGGGCTGAAAAGGACTAATTAATTTTCATTATTCCGATGGAAAAATTCATTGATAAGGGGCCCCGAACAGCCTTGGACTGAAGAAAAAATTTGTATTTGAGGTTCCACTGTATTTTATTTAATACTGCACAAAGTATAGGGCCCCAGCGACATCAGTGACATACTATATATAGAAAGCCCCTTGTTATGCGAGATTTTAAGAAATTAGGTAGTGTCCGGACAACACCCACACTAGTCAGCTAACACCCAGGTACCCATTTACTGATGGGTAAACATAGACAACAGGTGTAAAGAAACACATCTAATGTTTCTACCCTGGCTGGGAATTGAATATTTACCAAAATCATATATGGCTAACCCAAGCCAGGTACTAAAAATAAGCCATGTTGACTTTTTTGGGTTATCCTAGGTTCTCTACACATATGCTGCTATGTGTGATAATCTATATAGAGAAAATAACTTTTTTGTTTCATGTTTATGGTGGAGTATGAGTGTATATCACAGTTAGCCCTGTGCTATACTCCGTTTTCTCTAATATAAGCCCCCAAGACAGGGATAGGAGAATGGTATTTGTATACCATATCCTGCTCATACCTCCATCGAACTGCTCGGCATTATGCCAAATATTATTCATTCTGGAGTATTTAACATGTTTTATGTAAATTATATTGTTTCTTATGTCATATTAGATCAATTGTGATAGGCAAATAAGCTGTAGTGTTGATATTAGCATAATAATAAAGCATATTCTCTTGCTTCATGAGACTGAGCTCATGACAACCAACAGTGGCTTCAAAGCCACCTTATCTTTAATGGATAATGTACTGTGTAGGTGCTTTACATAATGAGAAGCATTTCGTTTATTCATGGCTAGGGCTAAAAGTAAGCAGGTTAAAACAATAAATGGGGAAAAAGAAATTGGAATGACTTATGCAGCAATAGCACCACCAAACAGTACCAGCAGGTTTTTGTGGCGACCCTGGAAATTTGAAATTATGCTAGCCAAAATTAGTGCCGAATAACTGATTGCCGGATTTGTGATGGCAGACCTGTAGTAGTATGTTGGACACAGTTATAAAAGCTATGGTCCCAGGGCATATGGAGATTTACCCTGAAGAAGAAGAAGAAGAAGAAGAAGAAGAAGAAGAAGACGAAGACGAAGACGAAGAAGAAGACGAAGAAGAAGACGAAGAAGAAGACGAAGAAGAAGACGAAGAAGAAGACGAAGAAGAAGACGAAGAAGAAGACGAAGAAGACGAAGAAGAAGACGAAGAAGAAGACGAAGAAGAAGACGAAGAAGAAGACGAAGAAGAAGACGAAGAAGAAGACGAAGAAGAAGACGAAGAAGAAGACGAAGAAGAAGACGAAGAAGAAGACGAAGAAGAAGACGAAGAAGAAGACGAAGAAGAAGACGAAGAAGACGACGAAGAAGACGACGAAGAAGACGACGAAGAAGACGACGAAGAAGACGACGAAGAAGAAGACGACGACGAAGACGACGACGAAGAAGACGACGAAGAAGACGACGAAGAAGACGACGAAGAAGACGACGAAGAAGACGACGAAGAAGACGACGAAGAAGACGACGAAGACGACGAAGAAGACGACGAAGAAGACGACGAAGAAGACGACGAAGAAGACGACGAAGAAGACGACGAAGAAGACGAAGAAGACGAAGAAGACGAAGAAGACGAAGACGAAGACGAAGAAGAAGAAGAAGAAGAATTTTATTACAGCATGATACATGTTTGTACAAAGGAGTATAACAATTGGGTGTTCATGCCAAAAGCCCCTTTATATGCAGTGCACTTCACGCAAACTTAAGACTAACTTAAGATTAATAAGGCAATAACAGTGCAGTAATTTTGTACATATGGTCAGTAGGTGAGTTACAGATATTGAAAGTATATATTGATTATAATGTTTTACCTATGTTCATGATATTGAACAAATGCATGTACAGGTATAGTTTTTACCTAAGTATTTATGATGGGCTTGGTTAAGGAGATAAGGTGTTTTCTAACTGCAGTTTTAAAAATGCTAGCTGAGTCAGTGGTTCTGGAGATTTCTGGAAAAGAGTTCCAGATTTTGGGCCCTTTTATGTACAGTGACTTCTTTGAAAAGATTTAGCCTGACACGAGGAATGTCATAGAGATTTTTGTGCCTAGTATTGTGTCTATGGGCCCTATTGCAACTGCCAAGAAAGTGCTTCAGGTTGGGATTTATATCAGGATTGATTGTTCTGTAAATGTAGGCTGCACAGTAGTACGAGTGAATGTTTTGTATAGTGAGTAGGTTTAGGTCTTTGAAAAGTGGGGGTGGGGGTTGTCTATCAGTAGACTGTGTGATCATTCATACTGCAGTTTTTTGTTGGGTTATTATTGGCTTTAGGTGATTTGTTGTTGTGGAACCCCAGGCACAAACAGCACAGTTGAGGTAGGGGTAGATCAGTGAATAGTATAGTGTAATTAGTGGTTTGTAGTGCATAGTAATGTATCCAATTTCCCCAGAATTGAACCAAAAGTGCTACCACTGAGCTATCTGTATGTTAATTCCATTAAATATACACATAATGAAATGCATAATTAAAAACTATCCACACTGTGCTGTGCTGTGAATTGTATGAAGTGGTTTTCATACAATGGACTTCACAAAAGTTAATACACAAGCTAAATAAACATCACAAAATTTATATCATTCTTAATCATTTCTGTATTACATGTATCTAACCCTTTGAGGGTGGGTCTTGTTATACGACTTTGAATTCCAGGGTAGTCCTGTAGTCCTATGCCATGAGCTCACCTCACCCACATAAGCTGTGAGCAATAAGTAAATTTGGGTCTAGATATATGAGAGTGGGCCCATGCAGTAAGTGTGCACTCCATAAAAAAAAATATTCAGCAAGTAGTGCATAATGGGGGGGGAACTGTAACCATGTTTTTTATTTAAAACAGCAAATTTACAGTGTATTTTTGTATGGTTTTTATTATTGTATTCTCAATTTCTTGGTCTCATTTGATAGAATGGAAGACACATTACAGAAATAGAGATGATTTTGATTGGTTTCAGGACTGAAAGAGCTTGAAATTGAGCTCAAAGTAACAGAAATGTTCGATTTTTGCTGATTTTCCAGAGTACACAAATGTCCAATACCTGTCCATCTGTCCAGTCTAATACACATTTCGGAATGCACTGACATTTTTTATACAATTATTAAAATATTGCACTAATTTGCATAACAGTAAATTTTATATTTTTGTGTGAAAAAAATCTAAATGGAATTCATGTGTAATATTGGAGAGGCCTGAGGATGTAACTAACAGAGAAAGTGTAATTTTAATGCCAGAAATGTCTGCATTGTTTATTCTGGACCCTATTTGAAAGTGGCATTTCTTAAATTTTGTGTGAAATTGCCCAAATTACCAATTTCTGATGACTTTATTGGGTAGTTGAAAGAGTTGAATGGGCAGTTTCTTGTACTCAGTCAATAGAATGGAAGGCATACTAGTGAAATAGCTAAGAATTTGGTTAACTGGAATAATGTAATTGGCCTAAAATCAGACTCAAAGTGGGCAAAAATTGCTGATGTGTAAATTTTGCCGACACAGCAAATTCACAAAAGCACAATTTCATCAGTTTTCCATCAACTTTGTTACATTTTGTTTTATTACCTTCAGAAAAACATTCTCTATCCTGACAGCAAGTTTGAGAGAAGGGGTCCTGACCCTCAAAGGGTTAAACAACACTCACTCAATAATTTTTGTAAATCAAAATGGAATTTAAAACTATTAAATAAATAATAATTTAAAAAAAGGCGAGTTTCAAACCTTGAGTGAGATCTGGGAGAACTTCGAGGTATGTGTCTGACCCTCTTCTGCTGGTATGAACCAGGGTGGCCGTCGTCGTAGTTGGCTGACATCTTCGACTTCTTTGTGATGCTCGACGACGGACAGTCCCTCTACCAAGGGAATTGACTGAAACACAATATCTCCTATGAGGTAACATTAATAGAAGGCACATCACCATCAGAGGCAGAACATAGTAAAAATTCATGTATTTTAGTGGGAAAGAAAAGTACATGTTACTTCCATGTAACATTTACTGTACGTATTTTTGTAATAATAAAGCATGTAATCTTTTCAATTTCATCTACTCTGATTAAGCCTTGTAGAGTTATCATCTTAATTTAATTAATTTTTATACATAATGTGAGACTGAAACATTAGTGATGCCAAGGGTCAACAGGAACTCACATGGAAATATGGGCCTCCATTGGTTTCCTACAGAACATTTTCTTTTATATCAGTGCTTCAAAGCAGTTTTATATAGAATACAGTAAGCTTTCTTAAAAAGCTCCACTATATACGTAGTGTGATTTTTTGTAAATACAAAAGAAAGTAGATCCAAAATTGAATAGAGTGTATTATGAAGGCTTTCCCAGGTGGTATATTCAATTTTGGATTTACTTCTTTCAATCTCATTTACCAAAAATCTTATAATATAGATTACCTTCATAAAACAGCTTACTGTATAACTAAATTTATTCAATAATTAATGTATCAGTTAGTACAGTTTATTCAATCCGTAAAGGAAATAAAACTTAAAGGGTTAATTTTACAAACATTTTGCTGTTACATTAGTAAAACATTCTCAATATACTGTAGTAAAGTTCCTCTTATTCAGAAAACTTATTCATTTTTTTTATTAACACATCGGCTGCCTCCCACCAATGCACGGTGGCCTGAAAAAGAAAAACTCCCATTATCATATACTCCATCACTGTCTTGCCAGAGGCATGATTACACTAGTTATAATACTGCAACATTAACATCCATCCTTCAGAGTGCCAGCACTGTACTTTCCATTTCCAGGAATCATATCCAGCCTGCTGGTTTCCCTGAATCTCTTCATAAATGTTACTTTGCTTACACTACAACAGCACGTCAAGTCTAAAAAACCATTTGTCTCCATTTGCTATCTAACAGGCTCACACATGCTTGCTGGAAGTCCAAGCCCTTAGCACATAAAATTTCCTTTACCCCCTCCCTCCAACCCTTCCTAGGCTGACCCCTACCCCGCCTTCCCTCCATTACAGATTTATGCACTCTCAAAGTCATTCTATTTTGAGCCATCCTCTCTACATGTCCAAACCATCTCAATAACTCCTGCTCAGCCCTCTAGATAATAGTTTATGTAATCCCGCACCTCCTTCTAATCTCCAAACTATGGATTCTCTGCATTATATTCACACCACACATTGCCCTCAGACATCTCCACTGCCTCCAGCATTCTCCTTGTTGCAACATTCACCACCCATGCCTCACACCCATACAAGAGCATTAATGTAATTATACTCTCATACATTCCCCTCTTTGCTTTCATGGATGTCTCCGCAGACTCCTCAGTGCACCACACACCTTTTGCCCCTCGTCAATTCTATGATTAACCTCTTCTTTCATAGACCCATCTGCTGACGTGTCCCCTCCCAAATATCTGAATACATTCACCTCCTCCATACTTCTCCCTTCAATCTGATATCCAACCTTCCGTTACCTAATTTTTTTATCCTCATCACCTTACTCTTTCTTTCTATATTCACTTTTAATTTTCTTCTTATAAAATTAAATATTAAATACACTAGAGCCAAGCTTAACCTTTGACTGTTTCAGTTGTATATATACGTATTACGAGCCACCATGTTTGACGTAATATTTATATGCATAAATTCTAGCGGCTTCAAATCAAGTGGGAGAAAGCTGGTAGGCCTACATGAGAGAGAATGGGTCTGAGTGGTGGGTGTGCACCCTGTGAAAAAAATCGGGGACTCAGTGGTGCATTGTGGGAATGCCATCTTGGTAGTCCATTTTCACCATGCCTCACGGTAAGAAGTACCTCACTCCTGGGCGGACTGGAGGTCTTTTATTCCCAAATGATAGCTTTAACAGTGATGGAAGTGCCAGTGAAAGTGAATTTCATGGTTTTGGAGTGGGTGTGACCGAAAGCAGTACCCAGGATAATGTAATTAGTGATGAAAATCCAGAAGATCCTCAACCTTCCACCTCTGGTGCTGGGCCGTCTCATTCACGTTCACCTGTACCAGAATGAAAGAGGAAACTATTTGCCCATGTACAAGACTCAGATGTGAGCAGTGAAAGTAAGTGATAGTGATTTCAAAGCTATTGAAAGCAGTTCTAATTGCGACAGTGAGGGTGAATATTCTCCAGTGAAGCGGCAGTACATACGACGTAGCATGCGTTCTTGTAGTGTGTCACATGTTGTTCCAAGGAGAAGGAGTAAATCTCGGAGTACATCCCGTGGCCCTACACCACGAACTGATAGTGAAGATGATGATATTGTTACAATGGGGATGAATGATGTGCATGGGGCAGCAGGTGGTGGTGGTGATAGTGGTGGTGGCATGAGTCATGTGGCACCAGCAGCAGGCCACACATGATGCTAACTCAGCACAGCCACAACCAGCCTCAACCAACCCTATACTCCCACAACATCCACAACCACAACCTGTAAATATCCAGTACCCACCAGCAGACCGCATCTGGGATTGGCAGCAAGGTGACAATTTTGTTTCCAATCCCCATCACTTTGATGAAACACAAAGTGGAATACGGCCATCATGTACACTTGGAAACAATGCTACTGAACTGGAATGCTTTCAGTTATTCTTCGATGAACCCCTGATGGACATTATTGTCAGGGAAAGCAATACATACTTTGAGTACACCATGGCAAGCACAATTCTTTCACCAAGATCACGCCTACACCAGTGGAAGGACACAACTGTGGCAGAGATGTATCTGTTCTTTGCCACAATAATGCTTATGCCAAATGTGTATAAGCACAGTGTCAACACATAATGGTCGACAGACCGCTTGATTTCAACCCCAGCTTTAGGTGACATTATACCAGTGAATGGATTTGTGCTACTGTTATGTATGCTACACTTTTCAGACAAAACCAGGCCTGACAGAAGCGACAGGTTATGTAAGATTAGAAATGTGTTTATGTACCTGAAACAAAAGTGCCGTATGTATTTTTATCCCTTCAGCTTGTTATTGATGAGTCTTCGATTTTGTTCAAAGGCAGACTGTCATTCAAGCAGTACATACCAAGCAAGAGGAAATGCTTTGGTATAAAGTTATTTGTACTGTGTGACTGCAAAAGTGGTCTGGTTTTGGATATAATTGTGTACACTGGCAGTAAAACATTGCAAGATACCAGGAAGTTACTGGGTATCTCTGGTGATGTGGTTAGAACAATGATGGAACCATATCTTGGTAAGGGGCATATTTTATGTACTGACAACTGGTATACAAACCCTTTACTCAGTGATTTCTTGCGAGTGAACACGGCAGATGTGTGTGGCACAGTGCGTGGAAATCATAAGCATATGCCTAGGTTCGACGCTGGCACTCGTAGAGGTGATGTTCAGGTGTTTGCTGCCAATGACATTATGGCATTTCGGTGGCATGACAAATGTGATGTCACACTGTTGACATCAGTTCACCGACACGAAATGGTAGACACTGGCAAGCAGAATAGAAAGACCAATGAACCCATTGTAAAACCTGCAGCTGTGATGGATTACAACCTCAATATGCACTTAGTGGACAAATGTGACATGTAGATTGGGTTTGCTGATTGTGTTTGCAAGAGTTATAAGTGGTACATAAAACTCTTTTTCCATCTTCTTGACATTTCCATGCTGAATGCTTATATGTATAAGTTGAAAACCAACAACAAACCCAAATATGGTGAATTTTGTTTGTCAGTTATCAGACAAATAATATTCAAGTACTAAGGAACAACATTTGCAATAGACCAGTGCCCACGAAATTACCAACACATGCCATCTCGTCTGAGGCCTGGTGATCACTACCCCATACCACTGCCTGCTACTGCTTTCAAGAAAAATGCTCAGAAGAGGTGTTATGTCTGTGCACATACCACAAAATGCCCACAAAAATGCAGAGACACTCGTTTTATGTGTGAGGAGTGTAAAACACTATTGTGCATACACCCATATTTCAAAGAATTCCACAAGCTACAGCAGTTCTAGGAAAGTGTCCAGTGATTGCACATTTGTATATATATATTATAGAACAATCGTAATAAAATTTTTTTTATATTGTTTGTTTGTGTAAACAAGTTTTGTAAGCAATATGATAATACTAGTGTATTTGCTACAATTGTGTCACATTCAACGAATGTATATATGAAGATTGCACCATATTTTGGTCTCACAGGCCACATAAGCTATGTGAAAAAATAAAATAGTGAAAAAAAAAAAAACCAAACCTTTGAATACAAGTAAACCAAAGTTTACCGGGTGAACGGCAGTCGCCGCTGTTGCCATACGCGGCTCATTTTCTGCCAACTTCATGCCTCTATATCTCAATAAGTACTAATGGCAAAAAAAAAATTCTTTTTGGATTAAAACAATCAGAAAAATAATCTTAACATTTTCATAAGAAAAAATCTTTTTTTTTTTTTAAATATTTTTTGACACCAGAAGACACTTCAGGATTTGGAGTTTTGACAGTCAAGGGGTTAACCCTTTGAGAGTTGGTCACGTACATGTATGTTTTAACAGCCAATGTTGGTCACATACTTATACGCCAAAATTCTAGGGCATTTAAATCTGGTGGAAGAAAGCTGGTAGGCCTACATATGAAAGAATGGGTCTGTGTGGTCAGTGTGCAAAGTATAAAAAAAATCCTACAGCACGTAGTGCATAATGAGAAAAAAAAAAATTACGACCGTGTATTTGGTTTAAAACAGCAACTTTGCAGTGTATTTTTGTAAGGTATTTGTGGTTGTATTCTTGTTTTCTTGGTCTCATTTGATAGAATGAAAGATACATTACAGAAATAGAGATGATTTTGATTGGTTTCACGATGAAAAGTATGTATCTTGAAATTGAGCTCACAGTAGCGGAAATATTCGATTTTTGCCGATGTTCAAGAGCAAACAAATCACACCACGCGTCGAATACACATCAACTGGTGAGTCTAATATTCTTTCACAAGTGGGCTGATATTATTTATACCATATTTATAATAATGCAGTAATATGCATAACAGTAAATCTGTTTTTTGTGAGAACAAAATTCAAAATGGAAAGCAAGAGTAATATGTTATATAAGAGGGGCCTGGAGATGTGACTAATGAACAGAGAAAATGATATTTTAGTGCCAGGACCCTATTTTGAAATTGGCACTTTCTGAAATTTGTGAGAAATTGGGCAAATTGACAATTTCTGATCACTTTAATGGGTAGTTGAAATTGGTAAATGCGCAGTTTCTTGTGCTCAATCAATAGAACAAATGAAGTTCTAGCAAAATAGCTATTATTTTAGTTAACTGAAATATAGGAATGAGCCCAAAATAGGGCTCAAAGTGGGCAAAATCCCTGATAAATAAATATCATCAAGACCACTAACTTTGCAAGGGCATAATTCTGTAAGTTTTCTATAAAATCTCATATTTTTGGTGTTATTTCCATTGGGAAAAGATTCTCTATCATTTCACAAGAATTTTTTTTTTTTTTTTCAACCCTGAGTGGGAGTTCAGGAACGAGGGTCTCGACCCTCAGAGGGTCAAAGAAATACAACCATGCAAATTTCCTGGTTAACTAAAACAATCAACACCTTTAAAACTAGCCATAAAAGTTTTAAAAATGTGCTTACTGGCTTCAATGGGCCCAAAAGGCTTTTAATTAGTTATGCTGTCATATGAATTTAAATATCACTATTAAAGACAAATAAAAAATGCTTACTAGATATGAGGAACCTTACAACAGTTCTATTTAATGTACTGTAACTGTACAGAGTACTTTTTATAACGCGTTATGGGGTTAAAGTGCAAGAAATAAATTCTACAGTTTTTAAGCCAAAAAATTAGGTGGGATCTAAGTAATGATTCTTGCACAAAAGAGAATATCTGCAAGGTGTTGTTCCCTCTTACACAGTAATCAAGGAAGACACAGTTGCGTTACACATTAGAATATTAGATATGTAGGTTAGTGTTAGACATGCACGGTAAGAGTGCATAAGGTTAACACTCACATTTAATAACAATGCCTTCATCTTCTTCACTACTAGAGTCAGGCACAGTCAGTTTCACCTTCTTTTCTGTTTTACTTGTCATCTAGGATTGTTTTCACTAAAATCAAAAGTGACAGCAGATTTTGTCTTCATTCACCACAAATAGATGTATTTTTCTGTATAACCTTGTGAACACGAAGTTGGTACACCTTTTCTGTTTAAATTTTTCTTAACGATCTTCTGTTACACTAATACAAGTGAAGCTGTGTTTTAGTCACTGAACCACTGTATATAATAGTACGAGATCACTGTCAGTCTTATCTTAAACTTATCCTTCAGTCAATGAGGAAATATTTTCTGTCCAAATTATATCAACCTGTTCACATTTTTTTGTACACTGCTTTTCCATAAGTAAAATTTACATAAATGTTACATAAAGACACTCACACTGTAATTCAACATTTGGGCACTACGCTATAATTACACCAAATTTAACCCTAAAAGATAACAAGCAAGCTGCAATATTTTACGGGTAGCTAAACATTTTACCATCTAATACCAAAGTAGTGAGAGAGCTACTGTATATTTAACTGAACTTGGCATCTATATAATGCTTACACTGTATGGCAAGGAAATGTTTTGGTGAGAATAATAATGCAAAGGCCAGGCAAGCACAGAAGATGCAATCATCATCCTGCCAGTAGGTGGCCACTTCCATGTGAGTGAGGGCCCTCCCTTTTTCCTTAACCAAATAACCACCTCAAGTCTCAAATGTTCTAAAATGTGTGTATGCCTCTACTTATTCCCTCCTGCTAGATTTACTAAAACAGTGCAGCAACTCTACACTACACTTGAGCGAAAATTATAACCCCACTAAAATAAAAAATAACTGCTGACAACAGTGGATTACTGACCCAACTTCTTAACACGGATATCCAAAGCATAACAGGATATCTTGAATATATAATTTAGACTACATAATGAATGCACAGAATAAAATTACAGCCAGAGTCATCAACTAGGTATTTTAACTCATTAACCCTTTCAGGGTCCGTCCCGTAGATCTACGGCTTTACGTTCAGGGTCCAAACCGTAGATCTACGTCATGAGCTCAGCTCACTCTGATAAACTGTGAGTGGTACATTTGGGCCTAGATATGAGAGAATACATCTATGTGTTCCAGCAAGCGTGCATGAGCGTATTAGATAGGAGTGAATGGAGGCGAATGATACTTGGGACCTGACGATCTGTTGGAGTGTGAGCAGGGTAATATTTAGTGAAGGGATTCAGGGAAACCGGTTATTTTCATATAGTCGGACTTGAGTCCTGGAAATGGGAAGTACAATGCCTGCACTTTAAAGGAGGGGTTTGGGATATTGGCAGTTTGGAGGGATATGTTGTGTATCTTTATACATATATGCTTCTGAACTGTTGTATTCTGAGCACCTCTGCAAAAGCTGTGATAATGTGTGAGTGTGGTGAAAGTGTTGAATGATGATGAAAGTATTTTCTTTTTGGGGATTTTCTTTCTTTTTTGGGTCACCCTGCCTCGGTGGGAGACGGCCGACTTGTTGAGAGAAAAAAAAAAAAAAAAAAAAAAAAATCTAGTGGTAGGTGCACCACATAAAAAAGACCTGCAGCACACTTTTGTATAATAGAGAAAAAAAACTAAAATCATTTTTTTTTCGATTAAAACAGCTACTTTCGTGTTTTTTCATATGTTTTTATTTTTTGTATTTGCGATTTTTTGGGTCTCATTTGATAAAGGAAGACAATTACAAAAATAAGAAGATTTTGATTTTTTTTGCACTGGAAAGGTTGAAACTGAGCTCAAATAAGGAAAGAAAATTTTTTGCGATATTCAAAGTTAAAAAAAACGACCTCCCAACACACTAATACACCCAGCTGGGGGGTCTAGTATACATTCACAAATAGGGAATATTTATACAATTATTACAGTATTTAACATAAATTTTCATTTTTTGGGTGTGAAAAAAAATTTCTTTATGTGAATAAAAACAAAATGGAATTTATTTGAAAAGCCCAAAACGAAAGAAATAAAAAGGGGAACGATAGTTTAGTTTCAGGAAACCTACATTTTTTTTATTCTGGCCCCATTTTGAATTGGAATTTTTTTGAATTTGTTTTAAAATTTGGCCCAAAAATTAACTTTTTCCGATCACTTTATTTTGTAGTTGAAACAGTTGACTTGGCGTTTTCCCTTTGCCAATCAAACAAGAAGAATACTATGAAATAGCAAGAATTTGTTGACTGGAAAAGAATTGGCCAAACGGGAGTCAAAGTTGGCAAAATTGCCAATTCGTAAAAAACGCTGACACATCAAAATTCGCGAGAGCAAAAATTCGTCAATTTTCCCCTCAAAAATTTTGTACTTTTTGTTTTATTACCTTCACAAAAAGATTCTCTACCATTTTATAAAAAAAAATAAATATTTTTTTTTTTTTTTTAAAAATTTTTGGACACTGGGCCCACTTAGATTTGGCCTTGGCCCTGGGGGTTAAAAATGAAAAAATTAAAGTTAGAGTTTCAGTACCACCTTCTCAAAAAAAACTCTAGCCTTTACATAAATAAACAATTCATATTACAAAAAGTAAATGCTGTAAAATACCCAAATGTCTATGGCTTATTAGGGGTATACCAAAAAAGCTGACTCATGAGAAGCAGAATACAAAAAAAAACAACCAAAAAAAATTACTAAAATGAAATTATTTTACATCCCTAGGTAATAACATAAAAAAAAATACGTATTTACAAAAATTTCAATCCACCTTCCCAGACAACCTGAAAAAAAAAAATCATTTCCCATGGACAGTAGTCCCCCCCAACTGCGGGATACATTCCGAGACCCCGTTTTAAACCCGAAACCCATGGGTATAGGAAACCCCATATTTAAATTTTTTGTTTACATACCCCAAAGATAAAGTTTAAATAAATTTTGCACGAAGTTGAGAATTATCACGTTTCACTGAAAAAAAAAATAAAAAAATGGGTCACATAACCAGAGACCAAACAAAACGTTACTCGTCAATCCTAACCAGCCTGATAAGAAGGGCTAAAAAATTGTATGAAAACAGATTATCCAACTTAAAAGGTGATATAAAAAAGACCTGGAAAACCCTATCAGAAATTCTAGGAACAAAAAAGGTATCAGGAAATAGTGCAATTGAACTAACTAAACCAGATGAACCCAAACTCCCACTAACTGAAATAGCAAACAGACTCAATGATTTCTTCTCCACCATAGGAAACAACCTAGCCAATAAAATCCCAAGCTCAAATACCCCACCCAATGACTACCTCACTGCCAACTACCCAAACACACTGTTCCTAGCTCCGACTAACCCAACAGAAGCCTCCCTTATTATCAACATACTTTAAAACAAGTCAGGAGATTTAAATACCTTACCACCATTAATGTACACAAAAGCGTCGCAAGTGCTGTCACCAATTATTGCAACACTCTTTAACAAATCCATCGAATCCTCTACCTTCCCTACAGTTCTCAAAATAGCGAGGGTCACACCGATACATAAAGGAGGAGACCAAACAGACTTGAATAACTATAGGCCAATATCCAACTTACACCCTCTCTCTAAAATCTTCGAAAAATTAATTCACAAGCGAATCTATTCCTACCTCATCTCCCACAACATACACAACCCCTGTCAGTTTGGGTTCAGGCCTAATAAAAATACAAATGATGCTATTATACACATACTAGAACAAATATACACTGCACTAGAGAAAAAAGAAGTCCCACTGGGGATCTTCATTGATTTACGTAAAGCTTTTGATACAGTTGACCATGATTTGCTCCACATAAAATTGTCACACTATGGTACAAGAGGGCACTCCCTCAACTACCTAAAGGGGGCTGTAGGGCAAATTTCCGCGCGCGCTCACCGAAAAATCGAAAAAATATGGAAATTGAGTTATATATATTGACAAATAGCTCAACTCTTTGGCAACACAATGGTACCAGAATAAATGTTCTATGATGTTTCTACAAGAAATTATAGTCATTTATATCAGGTATGGTGACCGCGATGTTGGTACCGAGTCTGCTGACGGCCCGTATATTTTTTGGAGTTTTTTCCTTGTTTTTTATCACTTTTTCTTGCATTATTCTTTCTAATATAATAACTGACTATTTGGCATCATAAAACAGTAGGTGGAGCTTATCCGTAGACTTAGAGACAACCAGGAACCAGACGGGAACGCTCAGCAGTGTTCCTGCTCCCGAGAGTTCCAGCAGGAATCACTCATTATTACGCTTATATATAAACTCTACGGCTTATTTGTCTATCAGAATTGATCTAATATGATATAATAAACACTCTAAGTAACATACAAACATGTTATATACTCTAGACTGAATACAATAGGCCATAATATGGCGAGAGACCATCGGGAATATTTCGATATTATTTGAGTTACTCATCTCCATGTCGTATTCTTTGGACTCTGAGTAAGAGAAAACGGTGTTTTGAGGATAACTGCACTAGAAAACATCAGTTTACTAAGAAATACACCCAAACAAACGCGATTTTCACGATTTTTTTTTTTTTTTTTTTTTTTGAGACGGGGGCTGGCCGGTGCTCCCGGCCGATATCTCGCAAGTAACTTATTCACCCAATGTCCAAAATTCTTCCTTTATTACTTAATTAAATGGAATATAATACTCACAGAAATTGTACAATAATGATTTCTCTATTTTCCAGTTGACAAATTTTGGAAATATTCCAAATACTTTGGGAGTTATGTGGGAGTAAAGGGCAGATTTTTTTGCAATGTTCCAGGAACTAACAAACTTTATTTTTTTGTGAAATAAGGATAAGTTTATTTAGAGAAAAGGACTCACGAAAATAAGTATAAGCATTGTTCTCTCGGCACCAAGTGTCCAAACAACCTTACGTAGTCCCATATAAGAGAAAATTTGGCCACAAGGGCATTTTCAGTACATCAGTCTTTTCTCAGTTGTTGTTTGAGGTATATTTTTGATAAATATTTTCAAGAAAGAGTGAAAACACTTTGTCTTGTGCAACAAAACTGGAGAAAATCGGACGGTAAACAAAAGAGTTACAGATTTTGCCCTACGGCCCCCTCAGCAACAGAAGCCAATATGTGTACACAAATGGAGCTAACTCTTCCGCACAGCCAATTACAATTGGTGTCCCACAGGAAAGTGTCCTTGGCCCTCTTCTCTTTCTCGTTTACATAAACGACCTACCAAATGCATAGCAACTACTCAAACCCACACTATTTGCAGATGACACTACATTCCTCTTCTCTCACCCAAGCCCAGTCATGCTAGCCAATACTGTAAATACCGAATTACAGAAAACATCTACCTGGATGATGACTAACAAACTTACTCTCAACATTGACAAAACCTACTGCATTCAGTTTGGAAACAGAGCTACAGATGTCCCTCTTAACATAATGATAAACAGATCACCTATCATAAAGCTCAAAGAGGGAAAATTCTTAGGAATCCACCTTGATTATAGACTCAAATTTCAAACACATGTACAACAAATTTCCAAGAAAATTTCCAAGACCGT